GAGAGAGAGAGAGAGAGAGAGAGAATCGCGAAATAAACGGGGAATAAAACATCGATTGTCCGATTTCCTCCTGAGACGTGGTAGACAGACTCCTTGTGGAATTCGGGGGAGAGGGGAGGAAGGAGGAGGAGAGAAGAGAGAAACGGGGGAAAAGGGAGAAAGCGAGATCGGCGCTTTTTTGTGCGCGCCCGGCGCAAAAAACATTCTCCCAGATAGACCGATAGATAGACGAACAGGTGCAAGCAAGGATATCTGAAACATAAAGCAAAAAACAGAGGAGAAGTTGGTTTATTGTATCGACGAGCGAGACAAAACTCGTATGTGTATATATATAGATACACACACGCCCAAGGGATGGACGACAAACGACTCACCTCACCCGATAAATCCCGCGGCCAAGGATATGACGAGGGCGAGAATACCGGTCATGACTTGGCCGGCGGTCGAGACGACGACCGGTTGAGGGGTCGAGTTGGAATGGAAGGTGGCCACGAAACGATCCTCGGCCGTCAATTTGTCCCCGTACCTGTTCAGCAAGTCCAAGATGACCCCGTTGCTCCAACCGAAACCTAGCTGGACCTCGTACTCGCCACCGCCTCCGTGCCCGCCCGAGACGGTCGCGTCGTACTGCGAAAACGATCGAGCGTGACCGAGTGTTGGCGACGAGCCAAGTAACCGATTATTGCGTCCTTTATTATCGTCTTCTTTATTACCTTCTCGAACATACTGTGCGTCTCGTTGTACGCCTTGTAGTTGCTTCGTACCCATCGCTCGCTTATCTCGTAGGCGAGCCTCTGTGCCCACGGGTCCTCGGTGTTGTTCAACGCCATGATCACGAAATATTGGAGGGGGGGCCAGGCGTTGGGATAATCCCATTGCTCGCCCGAGTGCTCGAGCGTGCTCGGTATACCGCCCAGATTCAACATTATCTTGTTCTTCTCCAGATACTTGAGCACCTTGGACACGTACTCCTCCCTCTTGGCGAGGTCGTAACAATCGGTCCACAGGGGAAGGATATTGGTCGGATAGAAGTAATCCCTCTTGATGTCGTTCAGCATGTCGTAGTCGAGCCAGACGCCGACCTCTTCGTGCCACAGCACAGCCGTGATCGCCCTCTTCCATTCGGCCGCCCTCTTCTGGTAATACGCAACCTTCGACTCGTTCCCCATCCTCTGATTGTACTTCGCCAGCAGCATCGCGTTCCGATATATTATCGTGTTCAGATCGACCGGGATAATGTATCTCGTTTTCAAGTTGGTCAGATTACCTGAAGAAGAAAGAGTAGGATCGATGATCGGGTGTCCAAGAGTTGGAATATTCGAATAAAGGAGGAGACGCGACGCGATCTCGTCCAAGGTTTAGGGGATCGATTTGGAAAACGAAGAAGAGTAGGAGGAAAAAAGCGAGAGGAGAGATAGATAGATAGATAGATAGAGAGAGAGGAAAAAAGAGGAAGCATTTATCAACGTGGTTATTAACAATCGCGTCGTATTACGTCGCGAAACACACGATTATTACATCGTTCCGAGTTTGCTCGAACCGTGTCGAAGATAGAAAAAAGGAACAAGAATTACCTTTGTTCGTGCCGTCCAGTATGAACCAACGGCTGGAAAAATCCCAACCGGATTCGGCAGCCGTTTTCAACTCCGCGTAATAATTGTCCTTCTCTTCGTTGGTGCGAAAACTTTGACTGGTGAGGTAATCCTCTCTGAACGATAAAAATTGAACGATTATATATGGGGAACGTGATCTACGGGGACTCGGTTACTACTTACTTGTAGGATTCCGGCCGAGGACCGGACGATTCCTCGTTGTATCTGGCCATTACGTAATTGACACCGTCCACCTCGATCTCGACCGTCCGATTGGTCATCCAAAAATCGAACTCCTTCTCGAGGAGGTAAAGATTGTTCTCGAGCCACTCGTAATCGTGAGTGGTCTTCAGATACTCGTCGACCATGGAGATCAACATGGGCGGTTGGGATCTCATCACGTAATATATCCTGCCTCCGTTCGGGATCAAACCGATCTTGTCCACCAGGGAGACGAAATTGCTCAACATTCCTTTCACGGTGGTGTACATCTCCGACAGGAGCAATCCTTTCACGATCCAATACGAGTCCCAGTAATAAAATTCACGAAATCGGCCGCCGGGGACGATGACCGGATTCGGCACGTAGATGATCGAGTACAGTTCCTCGTTCACTCGGACGTCGTCCTTCATCTTTCGTCCCAACATTTTCCAAATACTGTTCAAATCCGAGGCGAAGTTTCGGAGATCGTCGTCGAGAATCCTCGAGAGAAACTTGGGCCTGAACGTCCAATCGTCCGGATCCCATTCCTCGAACTCGGACCCTTCCGGGTCGAACGTGTCGTTCACGAATCGCTCGATCTGGTGCCTGGTGGGCATCTGATCGTGCCGATCCATGAACTCTCGAAACAACTTCAACGTCTCGTGTGGCGGATGTTTCATCTTCATGTCGACGAACGTTTTCGAGTCCTTGTAGATCGAGGCCATCTGTATCGTGTGCAGCAACTCGCCTCGGCAGTAAACGTCGCTGCAAGCCCAACACGCACACGTACACGCACACACTCTCGTCGTACAATCGTGTATATTCGAAACAATCCCGTTTCTTTCCTATCCGCTATCTAAAAAAACCTCGATAACCTATCGTCTCCCCCTCCCCATCCTCCTCCTCGGTGGTCCCGTTCTCCTATCGCGCGGATCTCGCATCCCCTCGCCATCTTTTATCCCCTCTCCTTTGCCTAATTCCTAATAATCAGCAATTATCGCGATAACGGAGAGACTCTGGATTTGTTTTATTATTTTATTTTTTTTTTTTTTTTACTTATTTATTTATCCCAACCGTTCGTCGTTATCTCGATTCGCGAAACTCCTACAGCTTATCTGGCCACTTCTTCCTCCTCCTCCTCCTCCTCCTCCCTCTCTTCCTTCCTCGTCAAAATCCGACTTCATTTCGTCGTCGAATTGATCTCGTGATAAAAATACGCACGATAAATACGCGTATAAAAAGAAAAAAAAAAAAACGAAAAACAAAGCCGTTTCAAAGATATTACTTCTTTCTCGGATAACGTAACGAGCGTCTATTCGTTTCGAACGAGGAAAGGAAGAATTAATTTCTCGAACGAAATTAACAAACTACTCCCGAGTTGTTATCCGTTTTCGCGTTACCGATGTTTACCGATGATAAACGGAGAGTCGCTCGAAATACCAGAGAACGTGCTCGCGTCCGTGGTGCGATCCGTGGACGCTGTAAGGTCACGTTCATTGTACTCGCGGAACACGATAATTTAAAAAGCCGGTGTTCCGTCCGTTGCCGTTTCGTTTCGAAGTTCATTGCTAAGGGCATATCTCTTAATTCTCGACGATTCTGCGATTCGCCGAGGAAGCTGCGGAACGCATGCCTCCTCGTTTGGCATCGTTGCGCTCGACGCGATGAATCACCGAGCAAGAACCGCCGGTGTGGGTCGCTCGTTCGTTCGTTCGTTCGTTCGTTCGTGCGCGTGCTCACAGATCGAAGCGACTGGCCAGCAGACACGAGATCGAACGCTCTATTCGATTCGTTTGGAAAGATTCCACTTGCCCTCGTGCTCGCCTCGAACAATTAATTTGGTCGAGAGTCACGCGTCGCCGTGCCACGTTAGCCCGGTTAGGGCAGCCGGTCGTCAACGTGACGACCGATGCGAGACACGAGCGACGCGCGTCATCGTTGTTACGCGCGTCTCGTATTACGCAACGAAACGTATAGGCGGGAAAACGATCCGAGAACGGGACGGAAGGACGCGAGGCGGGGCAGGGCGGGGCGAAGCGGGGTGAGGCGAGGCGAGGCAAGACATGCGAGGCGAAAAGAGGAGAGAAAGGTGGAGAGAGAATTCGCGATTGGCGAGGAACGGCACGCGCCACGGGCTACCTCAGCGACATTGTACGCGCGTGTTATTTACTTGTACTCCATGTTGTGTGCTTTACTTACCTCTGGCACGGAGGTGGCTTCTCGGCGTTGGCGAAACATCGGAGAACGACGAGGAGAGCGAGGAACGTTGTAGCAGCATTCACCAGGATATTTCTCGAACCACACCGGATGGAACAGCTCGAGGCCATTTTCTCTTCACCGATGATGATCCCGCGATCTCTTTCTCTTCCCTCTTTCTCTTTTCTCTTACTTTCTTCTCCCTATCCTCTTTTCCTTTCCTTTTCGTCCTTCTCCTCCTCCCCTTTTATTCTCTCTTTTTCTTCTTCTTTTTTCCTCTTTTAGGTTTACCTTTCTTTAGCTTTACTAAATTTCGAAAAAACGGAAGCGTGTGCGCGCGCGCACGCTGCGAATCCTTTCTCTATTTTATTTTTTTTATTTTATTATAATCGACTATATTTCGCGATAAAATATATATATATATATTTTATATATACTGAGTTATGTATGGTGTCTATGCATCCTGTCTATCATCACTTTTTTCGGATAAAAGTATCCGTTCCCTTCTCCTTGTTCTCGTAGCTTGTTGCGTCCGTTTCTTCCCCCTTTCTCTCACTCTTTCTCACCCCCCTTTCTCGCGCTTAAGCTCTTTTTTTTTTTTTTTAGTCTTGCACTCACTTCGTATCGTTTTGTTCTATCTATCTTATGTGATATTATTAATAATCATTTGCGATTGCGCTAGCAACGAGTAAAAGACGAGACGCAAGACGATATTAGAGCTTTTCTTACTGTCTAGTGATTGGTCGTGGACGAGGAAAGGCCGACTGGCGTAGTCTACGGGGTGGTCTCAGCTGCGAGAACAGGGATGCATCTTCCCTGAAACAAAAGAAAATTCGAGTCACGGATTAATACACGTTTCGGTGTAGCGAGATCGACGCGATGAATCGTGGTCGAGAGACGGGCTGAATCGGGGTATCCACCGTTGAAAGCGGTAAAGAGATTGAACGGAATGTCGCGTGATCTATTCGACGAGGTTTTGAGCGAACGAAAGTTTTTGACGAAACGTACGTTGTTTAAAAATAACGAATCCCGAACACCAGGACCCTCCTTCTTAATACACCACCCAGTTTCTGGCCGCTACGAATTCGTTGGTTTAACGCCAGAATTGTTCGTTATAGAGAGAGAGAGAGAGAGAGGAGGA